CATGAAAAAAACTCGACTAACCCAACCCCTAATTAACTTATGCGTGAATGTGTATGTAATGATATTTGGTTTTTCACAAAACACATGAGTACCACGCGGAGCATGTGTAGTGGGTCTTGCTGCCTCTTGCATGCACTGGAAGATGTCGGGTTCAAAGGCACACTAGATAAAATTGAGTTCTTTCTATCAAAGATCTCCTCCTTGGTTTATATTGTGACAATTGAATGCTATAATCCGGATCAGAGAAAATTTACGACGGTACAAGACGTCCCGGTGCAAACGAGGTTCGCGCCTTTCGTAGACAGACCTCCTACTACCGAAGGTTCATTCAAGGCTTCCGCACATTGCCAAGCCTCTGAGGAACATTTTGAAAAAGGATGAAGAGCTCATCTGGATGCCAGAAGGCGAAGCGACTTTTCAGGCAATAGGCGGAAGTTCATACTGGTCATGGACTACCAGAAGTTGTTGTCCCTACGGAACAACACAGACTATACTGGAACGTGAGGACGATGCGCAGTGAGATTGCAGGACTACGTCTTCGACATCCGTCATTGCTCCACCAAGCAGCACAGGAACGCTGACCGATTGACCCGTCTGCAGCCGCTGAATTCGATCCCCAAGGATGATCAGCTCATCCCGTGGAAGCCGCTTCCTCCATCGACGGAACCCCTGTACGGGGAAGTGCACATCTTGCGGAGGGACGCGGCTAAGTTTGGTGATAGTAGCAACTGATAAAGATGACGTCCCTCCCTCTTCCTCTTTGTCCCTTATTTCTCCTTCTTGTTTTTCCCATTCTAGTTCTTCCTCATTTCCTCCTGAAAAAACTATCTTTTTCTTTACATTGGAGATGATTTCGAACAGGGGAAGTTTATACCCTCTGGTCTCTAGCTTTGTCCCATGGGTAGAATGTTACAAGTGTCATAATGTCTAGGCTCATAGACTTTGCGTCAGGTACCAGACAGAAAAAAGTTTCCAATGGGTCTTTCCCAACTGCTGATCGATTAAACTAAGAACGACAAAACGATATGTGGAAGCCTTGACAGTCGACGAATTTCTGCCAGGTGTTTGCAAAGCAGAGGTCTGGACAGATCTGCTGCTACTCAAGCGCCTAAACGGGGATCCGCTATCGGAGGTCACTAAGGTTGAACGTAGGAGAGTAACAAAACGAGCTCATAACTATCGGTGGCACAATGCATGTCTTTAGAAACAGAAAGATACTAAATTTACCGATGACTTCGGATCTAGTTGGCTGACAGTTCCGCACCAACAAGCCCGGTTTGATCGGACCCGAGCTGCTTAGGAAGAGGGTACGGTCCACTTTGCGGTTAGATTAACAGAAAAGGCCATTAAAAAGAACGACTGATATTGGGTTGAGACTTTGAGACGGCGTTAAATTCATCGTCCATAATTGTCTGGCCTGTTCATCGGAGAAGGTGCCGGTTGAGATGCCTTTGACAATACTGCCAGCGCGAGTCGAACGTCCCTGTCAAAGGATTAGCATCGATACGACGGATATCAACATACCGAAGGGGGCAGCTAACAAGGGCGAGCTGGTTGTCTTTCCGGTGGCCGTCGATCAGTTTTTGAAGTGGCTCGAGGCCTACCCCATGACTAGTTAGAATTCATTAGATGAAGGGTGGTATATCAATCGTCTTCTATGTATGCACCTAGATGAAGAAGAGATCAATATGGATAATAGTCTGAGTTCTAACGGGAGGTAGAGAGAGATTTGATAAGGGTCGATGTTAAAATTTCCTACTCACCTGGACACAGGCCCCAGGCCAATGGGTTGGTGCAAAACACCAACTAAATGATAAAGACCACCCTCAGACGAAATATCACCATCTGAGATAGTCATTCCTGGCCGGTTATTGTGGATCATATCCTAGCCGTCTATCGAGCTACCGCACACAGTAGTATCAGCGTGTCCTCGTTCCAGTTACGGACCAATAGTTTACCTAGGATCCAAGTATCACCGCTTCTAGGTATGGAAGCCAGAGCCATTAAGGCACAACAATGAAACTAGGCTCAGTCTTACATGGACATGATGGCTAGGGATTATCCGAGATTGACTCACTAGCAGCAAAGAACTCTAGACTGGCGCGTCAACATCGAGAACAGCCACGCATCGGCAGATCCACTGCCCAGCTATAAAATCGACGATTTGGTACACGTAAGGAAGTCTGTGCAATCCTCAAAGCTGCATCCTAACTATATCGGTGTTTACGAGATTACAAAAGTTGGAGAACAACGAAGACACTCTGTGAAGCTCGCCCCAAGGCACAACAGTCACTCCAGGCTCCTGACTAGACGGGTGACTGCATTATGACAGTTTCAGCTATTGCTAGGCAGTAATGTGGCCCTAACTCCCTCTCGTGTTTTTTCTTCTTCCTCGTCATCCATCTCGTCTGCTTCTATCTTTCCCTCGACCTCCTAATCTTCATCACCAAGCTCGAGGTTACTGAACGTTGCAGAATGAGTGAGCGCGAGACTAAGCTGG